AACGCACACAGGGCAAAACATAAGTCCCCGTTTTCGGACTGCGTCCGAACGGGGACTAACAAGCCATGCATGGCACAATCCCTGTTAGTTATCAAATCTAAGTTATTTAGTTTTGTTTATAGAAATATAGTACAAGTACTTGTTCATAATGAGAAATATTGCACTGGAACAGCATTATTTAAAACATGAAGTTAGTGTGAAGTTTGAATGTAATTGGTTCAGGCATGTCTAAGATACAGGTTCGGGCACACACATGGACACACAAAGGCCAATCCATAAGTTTTAGGATTGCTTCCGAACAGGGACTAATAAGCAGACACAGACAATTTTGCATCTATATGTTTCTATATATATCTATATGACACAGACAGCCACAGGAATACCAATGCCTTATCAAATCATAACAAACATGATTAGAACTAATAAAATACATAGATGCATTGTGGGTAATGCAGTGACTAGGAATAAGGTACATACTGATGGTATTGGTGTTCCAGATATCCTACACTCTAGACGTATCGTTCCTCCTTCGTGCATTGACGTATCATGTAATCTTTGTATGAATGATGGTGATATGGATTCTTCTTCAGCACTACTAATTTCGCTCAAACCTACAATAGTAAGGATAAAATATTATAATATACTGTGATGCCAAATCGACCATTTTCCACTCACTACTGAATCCCACATAATGCATGAAATCAAATGTAAAAACAGGACACCCGAAGGTCATAGTGTCGTTGTAGCATCAAAACATCGCATGAGATGGTACAAACACAAAGTATTTTGGGGGTATTTCCAAGCTCAATAATGTGTGATATGCATTTAATGCTGGTCATTTTGATGGAGTAAGGACATATTTCTCCTTGAAAGATAGTCATTTAGACATTGAACTACAAAATGTATAAAAAAAAGAAATCCCAATTCAAAACAGAAATTTTCAGAATGTCACTAACATTCCTAGTCCCCCAGAGAAATTGTAACTGTTGCTACAAAAATTGGCTAAATTTGTCTCTCGCAAGATGTAAGCGGTTTATAGTATATTTAAAATATATCACTTTATTATCAGAATACAAGAGGTTCACATTCAGAGAAAAAAAATAAATCTGAATACTGTATATGATCTATTAGAATCACATTTCTAACAGAGGAACACATAAACCATCACTGGTATTTGCTTAACCTTTTCACCACTAGACTTTCTCGCAAAATGTTCCTGCACTTTTTTCGTTATATTCTTCAATATTTATGGAAATGCACCTTAATTTTGCAGCCAACAGACAAAATTTGAGTTGATTTAAAGTTTTTACTCCAAAAAATTGGCTATTATTGTCCCAATATCCTGAAGAAATGTGCAGACTATAAACAGGACTATTTTGTGAATTTGTGTTTAAAAAGGAACTGGTAGTGAAAAGGTTGATGACGAATTCCTGTATTTATACTACTTATATTCAAAACTGCATGATTTTCTTGGTATATTTTTACAGTGAATGACTTGTACTTACTGATAACTGTAAGTTTACAAGTACTTGACACTGTGCCATGTGGATTCCTTGCCATACATCTGTAGGTACCACTGTCTTCAAGGTACACTTTAGTGATCATCAATGTACATTTATCTCCTTCAAAGATTAATTTGAAATCTTCAGATTCCCTCACAGGTTTCTCATTGAAGTACCAAATAACCTGAAAACAGATTAAGTACTTTTAGTCAACTGACTAAACTCCACCAATGTAAGAAAATAGTGAATTTTCAAAGATCCTGTCATAGATTACAAATTCACATAGACACTCCTGTTACATTCATAGCCAGGCTATGGGTACACACTCGTATGAACTAAGATAGCACTGGCTCCCCACTGCTCTTTCTTACTGCACAAAAACAGACACTATAAAGACATGACATTGCCATAGATGCACACTCATGCACATTCCTATGCATGCACTACATTAACACTGTCTTCCTTTAGTTCTTATAACTAAGACAAAAACTCTACCACAAATCATGATATTTTCAGTCAGGTGTTCTACACTGCTGGTGGACATATACTGGTATATCCCAAGAGAGATCGTAACTGAGTAGGACATGTCTATCATTGTAAGTGTACATTCACTACATGTTATTTCAAGCTGTTCTGTTTTGGGACAATGTGTTGTGGCATAACTGAGTACATCTGTTTATAGGTGCATTTACAGAGTTTTGAGCAGTAAACTCACCTCTGGTTCTGGAGTACCCACAATAATACAATCCAATCTGGCTCTTTTCCCTTCAACGAATTCTTGATCTCGTAATGGCTGGATAAAAGTTGGTGGTACTTGTTCCATATCTGAATCTGTAGTAAAAGGTTCCTCTACAGTTAACCTTGCCTGACTGCTGTCTTCTCCCAGATTGTTTTTAGCAACTACTTTGTAGACTCCGGAATCCTCGGGTAAGGCTTCACGAATCACTAAGGAATGTTCCGCTTTCTGGGACAGAATCTAAAAGAACAAGATAACCACCATAAAAATTTGTTATTAGGATTAGTAAAACATAATATTATATTTTTATGTTAAGTCAAGAAATAAGGTTACAGCTACCCTGTTACAATCCATGGCTTGTGTCAATTTAGTATGAGACCAGACAGCTTTATGTTCACTGGATACCAAAGTAGTAATGCCACGAACCAGGCAAGTAACTTTCTACTCCACTATTCCCACAACTTAGTGAGCACAGAATCAAAACTTGTTTGAATAAAAAGATCAATCATCAGAGACACACAACACAAGTCAAATATTTACTTGTATTCAAATGGTTACTTATTTTATTGTTTCCAACATATCCAAGCATCATGACCAGAATGTTTTAAAATGCTCAGAAAATTCTGAATACCATTGGCAGTAAAGGAGGACAAATTTGTTCGTATTGTGTCAGAGAAAATAACAGAATCTGTTATTTTTTTGCAGTCTATAAGACATTAAATCATGTGATATCTGTCAAGAATTAGAGAGCTTACCTTGATGTCTTGCGATTCCTGTACAGGTCGATCATTATGAAACCAATTGACAGTAGGTTCAGGCGTGGCTTCAACACGACACTCAAATTGCACTTTTTCACCTTCTAAAGCTTTTAAGTCTTTAAGGAATGATTTAAATGTTGGGGCTTCAGGATGTCTATCCTCAGGTAGACCCCTAACAACCAGTCTAGCTGTGGTATTACATTCTCCTCTTGGATTGACTGCTTTACATGTGTAATGTCCTTCATCTTCAAGAAAAGCTTCATCAATACTAAGAGTACATAACCCTTCTCTGAACATAATGTGATAGTCCGGAGAATGGGTGACTGGTTTACCATCTTTATACCATTGGATTGACGGTGTTGGTTTTCCTGATACCACACATTGTAACTTGCAGGGTAAACCTTCAGTGACTTCAGTCGTGTCAAGTTTCCTGCTAAACTCAGGTGGAATGCTTACTATTTCTTTCACTTCTGATGTTTCTAAAAAAGGAACAAAATAAGCTTCACTTAGATAAATTGTTATACACTATACTGAATCATATAATATACAGTTATTGGCCTCACCTAAGGCCGATATCAAAAATTACTGCCCCAAGCGACTGTTATTGGTCTCATTTTTAGAAATATTGAAAAAAATATAAGAAAGAAAGTGCAGAAAAATTTTGCTGAGAAACTCAGGTGATGAAAACGTTAACAAAATGAACGTTTGTCTTACCTCTGACATTTAGGAATGCTGAGGTGGTTGCAATACCTACACCATTCATAGCCTTACAAGTCCACCGAGCTGTGTCCTCTGAAAAGACTTCCTCAATAACTAACGTACAAACACCGTTGTTATACGCTACTTCATAATCGGGATTATTTGCGACTGATATTCCATCTTTGTACCAACTCACAACTGGTATAGGATATCCTTTAATTTGACATTCAAACTGGAATCTGCTTCCTTCTGGTACTTCTGCACTTTTTAGTTGACGAACAAACTCAGGTGGTTCGCCTTGCTCTGTGGAGCCAGCAAAAAGCAAAATATTTTTATCAGAAAGCCAAATATGGTTCGCAGCATTTAGGCCAAATATGGCTAGGAGAAAGTCAAATATGGTTAGCAGAAAGCCAAATATGGTTAGTAAAAAACAAAATATGTTCAGCAGAAAGCCATCAAAAAATGAAATATGTTCAGCAGAAAGCCAAATATGCATCAGCATGAAGCCAAATATGGTCATCAGCATGCAGCATTTTAAAAAAATACTAGAATTGACATTGTCAAGAACAATGCCAATGATACAATGTATGATGATTAAAAGTTGTTATTGTTGCATTTACGCTAATCTGCTGATGAGGTCAAACGAAATCCAATAATGTTGTAAATCACATATTTATTGAACTGAATTTAAGCAGTGCGAGAGGATGAGAAAAATACTTAAAATAGCTTACCTAATACATTGAGATTTGCACTGCAAGTCGCTTGACCTGCAGTATTCGTAGCTGTACATGAAAATGTAGCTTGGTCTTCAGAAAATACTTCATCAATGATTAGACAATGCCTATCACCATCTTGTTTGATATCATACGGTGCACTACGCACGTCCTGGCCATTTTTCAGCCTAAAATATAAATAAGGGTAAATTAAAGGGCAGTAGTCATTGCGCCACGCATGTGCGAGATATACGAGTCTCATATAAACAAAGATGCGACTGTTGCGCAGATCAACGAGTACAAACTGAGACGTTACGAAATTTTAATTACGTATTTTTAGGTGGTTGGAAGGTATCAAAGGAGTCACCGGTGGTAATTAGTGCAAATCGCACCCAGGTAAAACCTCATACTTGTGATTTCCATTAAAAAAGCGCATTGGATTGTGGGTAAATCAATGTTTATCAACACAAATGTCGCACATGGGCGGCAGGACGACTACCGTGCTTTAATTGAAAGTTTTATTAGCCTTACAAATGTACAAAAATAACTATATAAATTTCCTTAGTTGGAAGTCAAGAAATGCATATCTACAGTGTTGTGATACAGAAATATAAATCGGTGAGGGCGCACTAATGCTTGCCGACGTTGTCAGAACAACATAAAATCTTACCATGTGACAGCTGGTTGCGGTTTGCCTGTAACTTGCACTTCTAACGTTACTCTATCGCCTTCATTAACTGTACTACTTTGTAGGGGACGAATGAACTGAGGAGCCTGAGCTGGTTCCAATTCCATTGCTGTTTCTTGTGGAGCTGACAAAATATATCGTTTATATTTAAGTTTGTATCAAAGAATCGGATGCAAATAGAGTATTGGTGTAGTCAGAATGTTGTGGTTTTGATTGACAGAATGCTATGTATATGAATACCATGTTGTTACAAGTTTGATATTTGTTATACAAATACGTTCATTCTAAAGTTAGTTGTAAATTTAGCTTCAATCCCATTGAATATTCAGCATAGTTTCCGATGTATAAATAAATGTGCAAAAACACTTCTTAATCCCACATGCATTGTCTGCATATAACAAACTATTTAAAAAGGCTATTATAAAGTATTTTTTACACATAGGTAGTAATATGTTGTATTTTGATATCATATTGCATGTTTTTGTTGGGCCTGTAATTTGAACTTCTGTTGATTATCCAAATAAATAAAGTTAAACAAAAATTTAAGTTAGCCTTTTCACCACCAGTTCCCTCTTTTCATAATATGTTCACAAAATAGTCCTGTTTATAGTCTGCGCTATCCTTCAGAAGATTGGAACAAAAACAATCAAATTTTTTGAGTAAAATCTGAAATTTAACAAAAATTTTGTCTGTTGGCTCCAAAATTAGGGTTCATTTCCAGAAATATTGAATAATATAAAGAAAAAGTGCCAACAAATTTGGGAGAGAAAGTCTGGTGGTGAAAAGATGGCCAAACATGGCTGGATAACATACCATGTATATTGAGTGTTGCTGTACATGTAGCTTCTCCATGTATATTGACAGCTTTACAACTATACAATCCACTGTAATATGATGAAACACTAGGAAGTGTCAGAGTACATGTACCGTCTTCATTGTATTCTACGTGAGTATCCACTCCTTCTACAATAGGTTGGCCATCTCGTAGCCATCGTACTGCTGGACGTGGTTCACCTTGTAACTTACAAGTCAATCCTAAAAGTTAGTAGAAAAAAAGAAGAAAATCATTGAATAACTTTCCCACTAATTTTGAAATCTTAGTATCTTTATGTAGATGAACTATCTGTTCAATTCTACAGCGATCATGTGATTTTTGAGTTTTCCATGGTTTATACATTTGGTGTCCTACAATAAAAAATGTATTTTGTATTGCCTGAAAGGGCTTGTAAAAATGCTGGGGAAATAAAAAATCTGCTTTTTATCATGTCTTAGGTTTCACTCTGAGATAATTCCTATAATTTTTGTGAAATATAAGATGGTCATTCAATTCAATGAATTTTCAAAACATCTAAATAATTGTCATAATTTCAGCTGTCCATTAAATTGTATGTTAAAGTCATTTGCTAATACTTTCAAATTGGCCCTGATACATGTGGATTTGCTAGAAGTAGACTAATAGAAATCATGTTTTATATTCAACTACCAACGAGTATCAGCAGATCTAAGAATGTGACTTACTTGTAATAGCACCCTCAGGTACTGCTTGACTGTCTAATGGAGCTGTAAATGTTGGTGGTGTGCCGCCATCACCTTCATCAGTGTCCATTCTCATTTCATGACTTGTAGTTACCGTCTCTTTGCGTGTTACTCTTACTTCCTCTATCACCTTTGTGGTAATCTCTTCTGTCACTTCCTCCATTTCAACATCATCAACCTGAAAAACAACCCAATAATATATTGTAACACTCTTTCGAATAGTTATATGCCAATTTAATGCATGAATCACTTGATCACTTTGATTTAGTTACTAATGTAAAAGTCAATGTGAACCAAACAACACCACTAGCCTAAGGCTACATAGGATGAATACGGGGAAATACCAAATCAACAGTGTGTGAAATCACATAATAATATCAGGTTAAATAACAGTGCTACAAGGGAAAATAACAGTCAAATTTCAAGTTTTTAACAATTAATTGGAGGGTGGTAAAAGTTGATATGAGGTGCGAATTCCTGGTCTCCAAATGACACATGGTCAATGTCAGGGACGCATTGACGTCTCATTGTATGAATTGAATCATTTGAATTATTAACATATTAATTTTAAAGCGAGAGGGTCACCTGTGCACGTGCAGGAGTTGATCAATGTAAACAATAATACGCTATAGCCATCTAACGCATACGCAGGTGACGACTCCCTTGCTTTAAAGTACCAGTTTTAGAAAGATAACTTATTAATCTATGTATTTTAAGTCAGCCATATCTACATGTATACAGAGAGTGTATCATTTGAAGACATGGAGTGTTAGTTTGAATACAAATGACAGTGTACTTACTTGGTCATCTTCTTTCACTGGTTGCTCAGGTCTCTGTTCTGGTAATTTCTCTGCTAATGAAAATAGCTCATCTTCAACTAAGTTAAAGGATTCCCTGATTTGTTTATTTGGTGTTATTACATATTCTGTCTTCTTTGGAGCTTCATCTCCTATGAAAAAGAAAAATATAGGTGATTATTCAAAACAAAGAAAAAAGTTTTCAAGATAAATTCAAATCAATTTCAGAACTGACGTACTAAACAAGGTAGGTGTTGAAGCTTTTAGAACATATATAGTAAACCAGTTTGTATCCACAAAAATAAAGTTTATGTTAACTTACCGTAGATTTGTATCGCCAATTCACTGATCCTCTTCAGTTGAATTTGCTGCTTACTTTCATAATTTTTCAAAAACTTTTCAAATTCATCTAATAGCTTATGTGCTTCATCTTGACTTTGTGCCTCAGAAGATCGCTTTCCGATGAGAACTAAAAACTTATTAGCTTCTTTCTGAAATTCAATACACTGCAATTGGAAAACAAATGAGAATAAAAATAAATAATTGGAATATAATAATGTTGTTTCTGACATTTCTGTAGTTTTTCATTGTTATCTTGGAAACAGTGGTGAGACTTGTTTTGAAATCTTTCTGATTCAATATGATCTGCATTTCAACTTTATTCAAATTACTTTGACATTTCATTTTTCATAATACATGTTTTGCATGTACATTTCAATAATACATTTTTTTCATATAGAAATGAGTGCATTAACTAATGCCAAAACAAAATATGGTGGAAAAACATCTCACACAACAAGTATCTTAATGTGTTATTTTCCCGTTGGTTACAAATCTTGATCAAAATTAATGAAAAACAAAGGCAGAAGTCAATGTTGCCATTCCAATTTATTATATTATTTCAATTTAAACCATTCTGTTACAATACAAGATTTTGAGAATACAGAACATACAACCATTTATGCCTCCATTATAGTGAGGTTTCCATTTCTAAAAAATGAATCCCACCAACACTGTGCCCCTCCCATTATTAGTACTGCACTGCTTCCCTGACACTGAAACACATGTTACACAGATGGTAGATACAACCATCAGTCAGTACTTGACTGATAACACAATTTATTTGTCTAGGGTTCAAAAATATGACTAGCTAAACCTTTATACAATAACAACCTGCAAAGATTCAACTGGATTTATTTAGTTGGAGAGCTGTTCAAGTATCAAGTTATCTTTGATCTTTCTTACATGTTTGTTTGTAATGCGGAGAGTATTTTGTTTTGCTTTGCTTTCTGGGAAATTATACTTGATATAAGTAACATTATCAATTATTGGTGGTAGATCTTTAATATTTTTAACACTTATATGTTTAACATTTATTTAAACCCGGATGTTACACAGCTCATGATTGGTGGACATATGTCTGACTCGTGGGGGACACATTGATAGCATAGGCTGTTATGAACCACACAAGTTGAGCTGGCATAAGTTATGAACTCTGAAGCAGTAAGGGCACCATAAATCTATATTGCACACTGAAATAATAAATGACCATCCCTTAAAAGATAGGGGAGCTATCACTTTTTTTTTCAAAAACACACACACTTATGCTTGGGATGCAGATGTTAGGGGTATCAAATGGTCTAATTAATTTGACATTTAAGAAATCATCCAGGCATTTACAAGAAACATGAGACAACCTTCCCAGGGGCTATCTATTACACCAATGCCAAATATATACAAGATTTAAATATATAAATTTGCTGCATACTCCGAATTACAGGGTCAAAGGTCAACTTTTTGCAGAAAGCTACTTTATTTAAATTTTCAGTGTAAACAGTAATTGAAGCCTCAAACATAAGGCAGGCTAGATATTTGACTTGACAGTGAATACTAACATGTGGAATTGCTTGAATTCCACATGTTAGGAACATCCCATGCATTGGCAGCAACTAAACAGATGGCCTAGGGTAAGTATCCGTACAACTGACTGTTGTTAACATCAGCTCACCAACAACTTGCGTTTTTACTGCAAAGGAAACAGTTTCTTCAGTGACAACTTTCAATTAATCTGATCTGAACCAAACCAAAACTTACCAAAACAAAAATTTCACTTTTTTGACCAAAAGTAAAATTGCCTGCCATTCATGGAATATTCTTACAATATGCATAGCATTTCTCAAAAGCTAACCCAGTCTATGTCAAGGTTCTGTCTTACTTGTTACAGTACCGTAATTCTTCTATTAGTTGGATCTTACGATTTTTGCATAAAAAAAATTTATTTCCTTCTATCATTCAATTTTATTACAGGAAATAGCCACATCAAGTTGCTATTAATCCACAATCATATCACCACCAACAGAAGACCATCTTTTTTTCTAGCCACCTCCAATTAATAAAAGAACTACGATCAAATGTATATAAGATGATTTAGTGTTATGATAGAAGCAGATGAAATAACAGCATCACATGGCCTACTGCATTAGCTGTCTTTATATGGTGTGCTGTCTTTCACACTACTGGCCTGCTGAATTAGCACTTCCTTGCACGGTGATCAGTAATCCAATAGTTTTGATAAAAAAAGCTTTAATATAAGTATAACAAATTATGCTGTTCATGCAAATTTCAATTGATTCTTGCCCAAAATATTAGATATTCCAAATAAGAAAATACCTCAATGACAGACTGGGAAGCAGATTTAAAGTAAAATTATATTGAATATATAGAAATAATCAAATAGTTGAAACTAATCTATAAAATGCGGATGAAAAATTTAGAAAAACATAATAAAAATAATGTTTTATATGTATTAAAGAAACAAGAAATTAAGAATTTGAGATTATGTCAACTGAACTCAATATATGTGTGTAATTTCATTAATTTTACTGTTGTTATAAAAACTTCCGTAATTTTCAATCCTGTGGTGAGGTTTATAAACAAATACTGAGCATTGTGAAACAAATTAGCAAACTATGAAATCAAACATTACTAGAATAACTGTCAATGAAAAAATCAAATGAATGACTGCAGAATATCTCTTAACTGATACCGGTAGTGCATGTGGCTAAACTATAGACTGAAACACTGTTCATCAATTGGATGAAATGTATGTATGTATACATAAAGAAATTATACTTAATAAGATGAACAATTGTCAAATATAAATATTAGTGAAAAAGTTATATAAATATGTAAAATAAGATAACATAAAACAATCCCAAAATTGAATGAAGAAAGTGAATATAAATTTGAAGTAGCTTCATTTATGCGTATTTGATTATACACTTATATGCAAGTATAAAAAAAAACAAAAAACATTTTTAAACATTTTTTTTAGTAAAAAAGCGTAAAGATATAGTTACAAGAATATTTAATTTTATGTCTATAATGATAGTGGTACATATAATGGACATTGATTACTTTTGTAGTGTAGGAGTAATGTGTGCCTCAATTGCTTATTTTATGCAGCTCTCCGTAATAGGGTTATTATACATTGCGACTTTTTAGGACAAACTTTATTTTTAGGGGATGTTTTTCCTTGTTGTGACCACACAGCAGTGACTGGGGCAGACAACTGACCACAAACTACACACAAAAAGTTTTTAGATAAGTAACCTGTGCAAATATAATGGTCCAGCAATAATGTGCAATGACTACCTTACACCAATTTTGAGAACACTTTCTAATTATCCACTAGCTTTTCCTATCCTATGCACAAATTATATTTCATATAAATTGGTCATTTAAGGGTGAATATAATTTTCAAAGGCTACAAGGAATATTCAGCTAAGAAAAAGGACATCTTTTAAATTATTATAATAACTATTTTTGGAAGTGATAAGACATTGAAATATTGAACTTGTTTCACATAAGCTGGTTCACATCACATTAGGAGAATTTATTGTAAAAACTTAGAAAGCAATGCAATTATAGTTGATCTTAATGTGCCAAATCATAAAAAATAGTCCACAAACTACATCATTGTTTCATAACATTTGAATGTAGCATGTCAAAAACAGCAAATGTTATGTTGTTCTACTTAAAATGTCAGTCATCTAGAAAAAATCAGGAGGGTAGGAAACTAAGAACCATTAATAAAATTACATTTTTATGTTTTAAAACAACAAATCTCCATTAGAATTTGATGTACAACATAAAACCAGCTAAAGTGAGTTTATATTTTGAATGCTGTATAGCTACATGTATAAATGCATTAACTCATGTCTACAGAATCCTGCCTCTAATCCTCAAATTACGGACTTCTTTCTAATTTCTTATGTTCCCAGTGTATACTGGTTACAACTAGTGTGCATATACTATAAATATATAGAGCTCTTTTATTTTCAATTACCTATAAATATTTTATCTATATATAGTTTAAGTAGATTCATTTAAAAAGATAAAACTCCTTCTCAGGTGCTTTAGCTAGGGTAGTTGGGCTAAATACTCTATGCATTCATATTCATACATGTTCCCACTAAGACAGTTAAAGTGAATACCATAATTATTCCCACCAAACATTTGCACTTTTTTTTTTCTACAATTTTTCGTTAATTATGTACCAAATAAACATTAGCTACAGGTTGTTATCAGATTTCCAATTTTTTTTATAAATGATGCAAGTTCATTTTGAAACAGGTGACTTTGGTGGCATTCAATAGGTTAAGTGGCCCCAATCGATCAGAAGTGTGTGAAAGACTGCTTAGCAGCTTTCTGAGTAACAAAGACCCTCTTTTGATTGACAACAGTCCCACCATCATTGTCTTCAGCTTTCTCCACACTGTAATACTCTTGAAATTCAGTATCAGCACTATGATGGACATTGGTGATGTTGGTAATGTTGGTTATGAAGCTTGGATTCGAATGAGGTTCCATTGCAGCGGTGGTTGTTGTATGATAAGGAGCAACGGGCATAGACTGGGGTTGGGAGCTCACAGTGATCTGGGTCTTGAAGGTTTTCTTTCTTGTTTCAGGAGCTGAGGTGTCACTCATGCAGTCTTTCGAAGGTTCAATGGTGATTGGAGAAACTCTGGTTACCTGACGTGGAGTGTTGCTGGAATCCTCAAAGCGTGGAGAATATTGATGGTGTGGGCTATCAGAAGTATTCCAGGGTTGTGGCGTTACTTTCAGACGGCACTGCTGAAGTGGGGATATGGGCTGAGTTATATATATCTGGGAAAAAGTAGGGAACTCATGGGCAATGGTGAATTTATAAGGCCCACCTGTGACTGGTGTTAAAGTAATTATCAATAACAAGGGAGTATTAATATATAAATATTTCTGATTATAGTAGATCATGTCTGAATCCACCTCTATTTGTTGTGGTTTGACTGCTTTGACAGGTGGTGAACAATGAAAAGACACCTTATGCAGAGGTCGTGGTGAATCTTCTCTGCTGCTGTAAATATATTTGACATCAACATCTTTAGTGATGATCTGTTTTTCCTCATACATACTACTTGGTCCACTTGCTGTTGACTTAGGAAGGTAACTTCCCATTTTCCATTCTCTAGTGGTTGTCACTTTTGGGGGATTTTGTTTCTTACGGCGGTCTGGAACATGTGTGACCCACGTGGTTGTGGAGTATGTGGTTGACGAGTCATCGCTATCACTTTCATCAGGTGGCTCTTCTTGTGTAAGAGGTGAAACAGGTGATATGGTGGGTTTCGTGCGGCGGTCAGGAACTTGTGTGATCCATGTGGTTGTGGAGTATGTGCTTGACGAGTCATCGCTATCACTTTCATCAGGCACTTTAAGATCTGTTGAAGGTTTCCCATATACACATTTCACATCAACATTCTTAGTAATAATTTGCTGGTTTTCCAATTCTGGACGGTAGTAAAATCCTGTTGTATCTCTGACAGGGACAGGCTCATCACTTAAAGGTGTCTTTGTATTGACTGTGGGTGGCTCTTCTCTTGTGAGAGGTGAAACAGGTGAGATGGTGGGTTTCTTCCTGCGGTCAGGAACATGTGTGATCCATGTGGTTGTGGAGTATGTGGTTGACGAGTCATCGCTATCACTTTCATCAGGCACTTTACTATCTGTTGAAGGTTTACCGTATACACATTTCACATCAACATTCTTAGTAATAATTTGCTGGTTTTCCAATTCTGGACGGTAGTAAAAACCTGTTGTATCTCTGACAGGGACAGGCTCATCACTTAAAGGTGTCTTTGTATTGACTGTGAGTGGCTCTTCTCTTGTGAGAGGTGAAACAGGTGATATGGTGGGTTTATTATGGTGGTCAGGAACATGTGTGATCCATGTGGTTGTGGAGTATGTGGTTGACGAGTCATCACTTTCATTTTTAGCAAATTTTGAATCAGGTGTTTTGGACTCAGTTGTTGAGTACACAACAGAGGGAGTGTCCAAGTCTGTCTGAGAAGGAGGTCTTCCATATACATATTTTACATCCACATTTTTAGTAATAATTTGTTGTTCTTCCAACTCAGGATGGTGGTAAAAACCTGTTGTATCTCTGACAGGGACAGGTTCATCTCTTTTAGTTGTCTTAGTAGTAACTGTGGGTGGCTCTTTTCTTGGGAGAGGTGAAACAGGTGAGATGGTGGGTTTATTATGGTTGTCAGGAACATGTGTGATCCATGTTGTTGTAGAATATATGGTTGGATCGTCATCACTTTCATTGTTATCAACTTTTGGTGAAGGTGTTTTGGACTCAGTTGTTGAGTATGCAGCAGATGGAGTGTCCACATCTGTCTGAGAAGAAGGTCTTCCATATATATATTTCACATCAACATCTTTAGTAATAATTTGTTGGTCTCCAAACTCAGGCCGGTGGTAAAAACCTGTTGTACCTCTGACGGGAACGGTTTTAGTAGTAACAGTGGATGGCTCTTCTGTTGTGAGAGGTGAAACAGGTGAGATGGGTTTATTTAAAAGATCAGGAACATCTGTGATCCATGTTGTCGTAGAATAAACAATTGAATCATCATCACTTTCATTCTTATCTGGCATTGGAGTTGGTATTTTGGAATCGGTTGTAGAGTACACAACAGATGGAGTATCCACATCTGTCTGCAAAGGAGGCTTTCCATATACATACTTCACATCCACATCCTGAGTAATAATTTTCTGTTCAATCTTGTGTTCTGGATGGTAAGGCTCTTCTCTTGTCTTCTTTTCAACTTGCGGCTTCCAATCCATGTCATCTGATACTTGCTCCTGAGTAGTACTCTCATTGGGATACTTGACAAAGGGTTGGATAAATTCAGGTTTGTATTCTGTAGTTGAGTGCACAATTATGGGAGACTCTTGTTTATATGTCGGGGAAGGTGGTTTTGGATTAAGTTCCTGAGGAAATTTTGCCCATTCAGTTGGTGGGAGGTTTGAATCAGTGTGGCTTACTCCAGACTTGAACTTAGCAGTGGAGAGTTTCGAAGAAGGTTCAATAGGTTCCTTCTCCCAATCCACTGAATGAACAACATCTTCTTCCTTCTTCAATTCGAAGGTTGTCGGTTTGTGAGGATGCTCTGTAGATGGCTGAAGCAAAGGATCTCTCATCCCTGCTTCCCATATCATTGTTGGTATATTAGCTTCCAAAGGACCTACAACAGGCTTTGACATGGTAGTGGTAGGTTCAGTTAAGCTATCATTGTTTTCTATCTTCTGGTCAGCTGGATCCATTAATTTGAATTCCTCTGTTTCAGCTAACCATTCTGCTGCTGAGAACTTAGGAAAATCTTCTAAAGGATGCATTTTTTCTGATTCAGAAAAGTCAGCCAAAAACTGATCAAGCCCTTTACTCCAACCAGTTACCGGGAATTTGACTGTAGGTGATTTGACTGTTGTCTTCAACTCAGTTTTAGCTATTTTAGGCAATGGTTCATCAGCCAGCTGTTCTTCAACAGGGCTTATTATTTTTGCCCGGATAGGTTTAACACTTTGGACATAGATTTGACCCTTCTGGGCAGGACTACATCTCTGTGCTAAGACAGGAGTGTATTCTTTTGCCATGACAGAACTCTGAACTTGGACAGGACTAAGTTGTTTAACCTGGACAGGACTGTGTTGTTTAACCTGGACAGGACTAGCTTGTTTAACCTGGACAGGACTAAGTTGTTTAACCTGAACAGGACTAGCTTGTTTAACCTGAACAGGACTAGCTTGTTTAACCTGAACAGGACTAGCTTGTTTAAACTGGACAGGACTAAGTTGTTTAACCTGGACAGGACTAATTTGCTTTACTTTATCAGGGCTAATACTCTGTACATGAACTGGGCTTAATCTCTGACCCTTTTGGACAGGATTTGCAGTAACCTGCTTCAAACTTGATAACCTATCCCTTAACAATTGAACCTCCCCTGAAATATACTCAGAATCCCCCAAATACATTTGTTTCAAAGCTGCAAGATTCTTATCACCACCCACCTGTTCTATGAGTTGATGATACTCTATTGAGAGTTTTAACTTTGTGGTGTAGTCCTCAATCTGAACATTTAGTTCATTCCAGAACTTCTCCATCTTCGCTATATCTTTTCTGATTTCATCACTAGCATAGTGGTTGCTACTCAGCATGATGTTAGCTGTACTGATGAAGTTTTCATAAGCTTCTCTAACAGGCTGTAACAATGGAAACAAAATACAAAGGTTAGGAAAGATCAAGGTATTGACATGTCAGCAATATTATCACATCCTTTTGATAAAACATATATTACAGTTGGGTGTGGGGGCCGAGTCAGCCTGCTGTGGTGAGGTGCTTGCTGTGTTTGCAAGTTTGAATTCTGTTCTATTGTCTGTAATTAACTTGTACCAGTCCAAAGTACCCCAGAGCTAATGTATAGTGGGATGTCTGAACACTTATTGGTATGCTCTGATTTAAAGATACAGTTTGTAGTGTTAGATTTTGTAAATATTATAAGTTAAACAAGCAATTGTCAATTATTTGGCAAGAGACATATTTTTATAAATTTTCAAGTCATTAAATCGTTAAATTTTGAAGCAGTACAGGTTATTCTGGGGTCCAACGACACAGTGTCAACAACTTTTGTGAAATTTTGTCTTCACACATACCAATTATGAAAATTATCATCAATGTGCTCATTCAATGTATTTATAAATATTATTTATTATGGTGAATATATGAGAAAATATTATGTGTGACAAGGCATAATTTTGCGGCAAATATTAGCAAAGGTCATGAATCTCATAAGATTACAATTGTTGTGATCACGCATGGTGTTTGAGTTTGAATAGGATTCAACAAAGAACACGTACAGGTTTTCCACTTAGTACAGCTTTAATGAGACAGATGACAATATAGACACTAGTATCACTGGAAAGGTAACTGTTAATTACTTACCCTGATTGTGATTAGCCATTCGTCAAATTTCTCAATAAGTAGTGTAACAGTATGCACAGAATCGCCATACTGACCATGTAGACCTTGTAAATTCTGTTGTGTCAACTGTAACTTTGACATCAACTAAGTAGAAATCAAACAAAAACATAACTATATCTGATAAGAGCATAAGTATTCAGATGTGCATACAATAAATACAATTTTGGGTTTGCATGTGTTTCTAATTGAGATGTGCTTCTAATAGCAACTCGTAGGAAATATGGTAATGGGTGTAACTGTAATAATTATTCTCTATTTCTTCACGTGAAATATGCTAAATTAACTCTTATCTGGTCAAGTCAATGTAAAAGTACATGGGGCTGGCAGATTAACAGTTAAATCAATAAGATTTTATGAATTCATAACAAGTAAACATTATAAAATCCATACCTGTTGTCTATCCTGGTCAAATTGACAAAGCAGAATGTGTTGCTGTAACCTGTCTTTGTATTGTCTGTAATCATCCATCCATTTCTGCTTACGAACTTGTGTCTGTTGAAGAACTGATTCCACTCCCTGCTTAGCAGCCAGTACAGGATCCTAAAAGCAAGTAATTTAAATCAGCAACAGTTTCTATAACACACAAATCAGCTCAAACCTATCGATAATCAGTTCTTTTACAAACTCACTCATCTGATAAATAGTTAATATATATACTACACCTCCAATAAGACCATGTGATGTTGGTTTTGATTTGATTTTAAGTACACCAACTTTTACTGAATAATTTATGCTTTTTTATGTACTTCTAAGAGAGTAAATATGATATATAAATAAAGTAAATTCACAAATACAATTATTATATTTGCTCAGTTAAAGGGCATTTCCAATCGAAGTGCATATAAACCAAAAATCACATTTGCTGTAAATTGCATCATTAAAATATGATATATTTTAACCACAGAAATACCTATTCTTTTCAGTTAAAATGTATTACTGGTGCATTTTTTGAAATTGTGAATATTTATTGAATAATTAAAATAAATTATTAAAACTCACGTATTGCCTAACTCTGGTTACAATCTCAGAACCGGTGCTTATTGTTGATCTGAAGAGATCTGAGAGTTCATCTTTATCCTGGTCATGTTGTTGTAGCATTATCTTAGCTTCAGAAACATGAGTAGGTAAATCTGTCCTCCTGTATTCAACTTCTACTTTCTCCATAAACTCAGTCAACTGCAGAACAAACAGAAAATCGTTAAGTATCTCAAACTAATGTATATATAGAAAATTACATTTAGAAATATACAATGTATATAGAAGAAAATGGCAAATTATGAATTATTATACTAGCATAATGACTACAGGTGGTTATTTTTCTCACCACTTTGCTAAGATTTGGGGCTTCACACACCAATCAGTAAAAGCGGAGGGGTTGTCATCTGCGCATGTACAGGAAATGAGTCCTAAAGGGACAATGACAACGCATGCCAAAATGCAAAGGATCATGGGTAAACACTTGTTTGTAAACAGCAACATGCTTTAACTATCTGCTGCATGCACAGGTGATGACTTCCCGCTTTAAACCAGAAAAAAATAATAACAATATCGCCATCATGAGAGCATGATTTTGATTCCAACAAAACCGCAGCTTTAGTTGATACTCTTGTACTTTCTTAAAGCATATTTCATAATAAACTAATAATATTGTAACAGTTATTTTTTACAAAAGCTAAATCATAATTTAATGATCTTACCGTGGTAACACTTTTATAGAAACTGATTGTCATTGTAAGCAGTATCTGGTACTCATTGAGTCTTGCTTGGAATCGTTGATGAACTTTAACCAATTCATTGACAATCAAATCTTTCTCGCCGTGCGTGTCTCCTTTTAAAGCTAACATCTCGGCTGTCTTCACTCTCTCCTCAATCTCTTGATTAATTTTCTGCAGAACAGGAAATTGTGCACATTGTCAAATTCAGGATTTTCAAAAATCTCAAACTAACACAACATTAATTAATGAAACCCTACAAGATGACGATACTCCCATGGTGCATTTCACTAATTATGTGTACAACTTCCTGTTGTGAAAGACAGAGAATGTTTTATTATGTAAACATTCTCTTGTCTTTCTAAGTAGGAAGCTCCCTCTGGTGTTCAAAAGTGAGAGGTGCATGATGAGAGAAGCACATGGCATATATGAAATCATTTATTGAGGTAGAAATAACTATACATCCACATAATTTTGAAATTTTTCCGTAGTACATATTTCCAAGGTGGAAACAAAGATGAGATAAAACCATTTATGATGTAGACTTTTCCCTGGCAGTTTGTTGCTAAATGAGCAAACAAGTTCATATCAAAATAAGATTAATTGCAAGAAATTATAAATGGTACTGCTGTATTTTCAGAGCCATGATGTCAAATATAACAAGGTATTGATGTTCATAGCAGGTCAAAACAGAGTCTATAAAGTTTATGGTAAAAACAGAAGTTTACTTCATAATATTATTAATATTATCTGGTTGTGTCTAAAATGGGTCCCATACAGCAAAATACAATTCATGTAAACACATTTGTTAACTAACTTTGGAATTTTAAAGAGAAACTAAACTTGTCAATCCCCAGGATTGCACCAGGGAGTAAGGGGCCACCATAGCTTATGTTGTTTAAACAGTTAATCTTTTGTATTCCATTTTTAATCTAGTAAGTAAGTTTGCTGTGGGATTAACTTAACAGAAAGTGCCTCTTTAAACGGGACCCGATACTATGAATAGGGGCAAGACAGCCACCGCAATTATTATGCTAAACCGAACCAAGCCGCTCACATTGTGGCGGGAGCTTTGGTAAATGTGTCAATTACGATGTTTGAAGATCAAGCTGTGATTCCAAATACATTTTTACGGGGACATGAATATGTACGCTAGCGATTATACTCGTCTGGTTGGGCTTTTGATGTATAAAAGTTGTTGTTTTCGGTCGAAACATGCCGCGACAAGTAAAAATCATGAGTTTAAAATGGAGGCTAATGTATGCAAAATGCCTGTCAATCACAGTTTGAGTAAGAGAGCATAATAAGCATACATTTACTTAGTGGACAGAGGCGGAGTTAATTACCCATGAGCACGTGGTGCAATCCATGGGACATTTTTATGTCCTTTTGCCTAGGTCTTGCTGAGCTATTTCATATGCAGCATTCCTTCTGTCAGAACGATGAGCTATTTTTGCTTACCTTAACTGTCAGCTGGAATTCAGACAATTTATTCTGTCTTTCATTGGCTTCTGTTAGTGAGTCACCAAGTTCACCTGCTATTTGTGGAAAAAACTCGGCTTCTGTATTCATCACCCACTCTATGGTCTGCAAAATTAAAGAAAAAGGTTCAGCACATAAAATATCATTGTTTTGAATTACACTACAATGACATGCTAATGACTAAAGCACACTCCAAGGCTGAACTATGCCTATTCTTTTGTTTTTACCAATAAGGAATGGAAAAAATGCATTGTATTTATAACCACAATGAATGGATACTTAACAATTACAGATATTAATTAAGGAAAAATAACAATGAGCCCAAAACTTACTTTTCTGGCATCTTTGACGAATTGTTCCCATTGAATTTTAAAGTCTTTACTGGCAGACAAACGTATCTGCCAGGAGTCAAATGAATTTGATAAAGCATTTTTACGATCACGGAAATCCTTCAGCATGGTTTCTACGTGACTAATGGCACCATGGATATCCAAGTTTGGATCATCACGGATCTGTAAGGAAACAAGAAAACAAGGGAGGATGTATTATTACACTGAGAATACAAATGTGGATTTCATTATTAGATGCCATCTATGTTATCTTTCAATTTGGCTGAGTATATTTAAATAAAATACTATCGGAGCTTGAACATCAAATGCGTTGGTTGCCCTGAAATTTTGCCATAAATACATAAATACAGATATTCTTCAAACTAGTAGTTCTACAGGTTAAGGGGTGCCTGATCACAGGGAGTGGAGTGATTTGATATGAAGACCCATGATATAATAGAGTCCTAAGTTTAAACCCTACAACACAATAGATGGTCTTGTACTCTGAGTGAGTGTGCAAGAAAATTGGAAGGCTAACAGATGAGACTTTCAGAAATCCTTAAATTAAATTTCACAGCTACTTATATTCGATCGACCAAGAAATATTGCAACTGACATGTCATTTTGAAATGACATAACACTGTATTGTGTTTCCAAAAACAGAGCCATGATTGTGAGAAAGATTAGTGGCAAGAGAAAGTTAAGAAGATTCCACACCATCATATTTCTCTGTGTGTCAATTCAAACAATTCTAGCTATACATGTCACATTGTGAATCAATTTCCAATTTTACGCATCACTAGTTTAAAGGACTTTTGTGACTCCCAGACACGTTCCAGTAACAGAGACCCATCAATGTGCAAAAGGGCACATATTTTGGGAAGATTCAGTGAATAGTAAACAGGATGTAACGCAGCCATTCAAGAAGAGAAATATGTATTTTTATGAAATATCATACTTACTAATTTAGCTTCACTCAGGAATGTATTAGCTTTAGTTTCATATTGTGTATAAGTTTCTATCATTTCTGTCCATTTCTGCTTCCAATGTGTAACTGTAGCTTCTGGAATATTCTGCAAGTCTTGGCCCTCAGTGGACTGAAGTATTTCATCAATGCTGTCCATTGCATTGTTGAGCTACAAAAACACAGGGTATAAAATTGTTATCAATAATGTATTTTCACTATGATCAGGTAAGCTATTGCCTGCTGCTGTTCAAAATACATGTAGTTAGTTTCAATAGGTGATTTTCCGTACAATTGCGAGATCTCGCGAGATGCATGAAAGATGCGCGTCGAACGTCTGCCGCAAACATCGAACGATTTGATTTTGAACTAGAATTTCTTTATTTCGCAGCTTACATTGACCGGCCGATCTTCGACAGAGGAATACTGCTTCCGAATACCCTTACTTAATCGAAATTGCCTATCATCAAATGTGGACAGCACATTATTAAGCATGGAAATGTCCCCAAAATACTTTCGCGTTTGTCGAATCCCACGCGATGTTTGACGCGACTACGACGCTATGACCTTTGTTTGTCCTGTTTTTACGTTCGATTTCACGCATAACGCGTGATTCTCGCAGTGAACAGAAAATGGTCAATTCAACTAAACAATTTTGTGTATGCTTTATGCATAAATCTTTTCACCACCAGTTCCTTCTTTTCATCACAAATTCACAAATTAATCCCGTTTATTGTCTGCACTTTCCTTCAGAAGATTGAGACAAAAATAGTCAAATTTTTTGAGTAAAAACTGAAAATTGACTCAAATTTGTTCTGTTGGCTATAAATTGGGATTCAATACTAAAAAATATTGAAGAATATAAGAAAAAAATTGCAGAAAAATTTGAACGAGAAAGTCTGGTGGTGAAAAGGTTAAAACCCATTAGAATGGTAAAATCAACTTTTCTGCATTATTCTATCCTATTTGATCCAAATTTAAAGAAAAACACATATAACAATGATGACGTACAGGAAACTGATTGTCATTCAACATTCTCACACAAGTATTTTTTTTATTTCAAGTGTTGATTGATGTGCAGAACCTGGTGATTTTGTATTTTGTGACTTTTGTGACTGTGACTTTCGTATAACATTTTCCTCAAAAAAACAAACAAACCATATTTCCTTACCTGCTTGGCAAGCTTATAAACTTCAACAAGTGTGAGAGTTATTTTGATACGAGTTTCAACAGTTATAGTTAGTCGGGTCCATTGTTGTTTAAGTTGTTGGACTTTGTCCTCAACAGTCTGTGCGTCCTGGTCCCCTGATTTAACCAGTTCGGTCACAGACTGAAGGACAGCCTCAACCTCTTCTTCCTTATCCTAAACAATACAGATACAAAAAAATTATTAAAATATTTTAACAAGATTTGTAATTCCCAAATCTTTCCTTGTACAATAAGGGAAGCCTCAGAGCCTAATGTCATATGATTATCCTTAGTCTCACAGATATACTTGAAAAGTAACCAACTTGGCTGACATAAATGTCATCTTTATGTGCTAATCTTTTTACTATGTCTTCACAAGATTCTTTCCCATCATTTTCAACAGTACACCCCCACCCCCACTACCACCACCACAACCAATCTTCTTAATCACTCTCTCTCTCAATCAATCAATCTTTTCTTTCCATATGCCTCCTCCAGGCAAACTTTTGATTTTCCTCAAATTTTGTTTCTTGATTGGTTTCTATTCCAAATTGACCTTAATTGCAAATGGCTGACAAAAGACAATAGTTTTTCATTTTCTATTGTCAACAGTGGACATTTGCCAAAAAAGGTCTATTTATAAATAAACTAAAGCATGTCAATGAGTAAGCCCGATAGAGAAGAGCTGATTACCAATTACTACTTTTTACAGGGTTCTGTAGACCACCCATAAATGGTCATTAACATAAATGTTCACAAATCTTATAAGCTTACCCTTATGTCTTCTTCAAGTTGTTCATGTTCTTCCAAAAAGTCTGTCACATTGGAGAGTTGTGTTCCTGGGTTGTTGCGAGACGATAGGAAGGCTTCACCCACATTTACCATCCACATAATTAATACTGAATATTTCTCTTCAAATTGCACGTAAATGGCGCTCCTTGCCTTCGCCTCGGCTTCTTTGTGTGCCGTACAAGCAGACCTCAGCTGAGACACTTTAGCCTGCAACACAGAAATAAGAAATCAATAATCAACAAAAACAACATAATTGTATTTTACAGCAAATTTGAGTATAACTGCACATATATTCATGCATTCTGAACTGATGAATCATTAACCCTTTAAATGTAAAAATCATTTTTTGTCACTTTCCACAAAATAAAGCCGCATTCTGATCGATACAAACACTGTGAAAATACTTTATTTTAGCTGGATTTAATTTTCGCTAAATACACTTTTTTGGTGTTTTGTATGGAATTTAATTTCACTGATTTTTGACAAATTGAATGTAAAATATAGGAAAAAAGGCATATTCGCTGGATTTTATATTCACTGAATCATTCCACAGTAGATAATGGAAAGAAATTATAGAAACATACATAAAAATGTGCAAAATAATGCACAAAAATGGTGGTGGGAAAAGTGATGACACTGAAAATAGTACGAGAATAGGAGTATAGAAATACATTATTAGGTTCATCCCAAATTTGTGTCAAAAACATCAGATAAAACTGTTTTATACTGTAAAAAGATCAATTATTCACTGGGTTTTAGTTTTGCTTATTTCCCTGACTGGAAAATGCGTTAAATTAAAACCAAGTGAATATGTAAAATTTAGCATAGAACTAATTATCTAAATGATAAAACCATGAAATTTAAAACCCACTGAATATGCCTGAAATGGTAAATCAGCGAAATATAAATCCAGTGAAAAATAATCATTTTACAGTACCGGTAGTATTTTTTTTATATTAAACCGACTTGAATCAAACAAATCCTTTTAGTTCGCAAAAATGCTTTGCATAAGTGCATTTTTTCTTGATTTAACTCTGATACATTATTCTTCTCTAAACACCTGTTCAACCAGTTGTTATTATCCATACACTGATCATATACTGGGGAAAAATAAGTTAACAAATACACAAATCAACTGAATTCAACATACCTCTAGAATTTCTACAACTTCACTCACCCCCTCGCTACTGGGAACATCTCTGCCGACCCTCTCAAGCAAAAGATGTCCCTCTCGTAACACAGGGGCTGAGATTTCATTAATAGAACGTTCAAGACGACTATGTTTCTCAGCGAGTTCTGGACTGTCTTCAGGTACATCAGTACCCTGTAATTGCACTTCAATTTGGTTCAATTCACCCAATGCCTGAAATAACAAATAAAAATAAACATTATTAACAAGTCCAAAACAACATTTGCTTTCAACAATCTGCTTCAATCAACATTTTCAACAAACTAAGCTCTGTTTTTATGAAATATATTACAAGTTATGACAGAAATTTAATTTAATAATGTTTTGAACAAACTGCAAACATCTTCCACAAGCTGACTTTGAAGTAAAAACAAAAGATTTTACTCTGATGACTGAGGGCAGTATATAGCGATTAACTTCTGAAATTCAACCAAGTGCAAAATCAAGTTTGTTTGTTCGTTGCCAAATAAATGCAGAATCAGAATATATCAAGATATCACTAATACAAAATAAACCTGCATAAATATTTTCAAAATTGTTGATCAAGACTTGAAGGCAGTAGGACAATATTTAGTCCAAAATTAACAATGAACGATATGAAAAAATCCTAAAAATATGCACAAAAGTTTTAGCAGAAAAAACAAGTTCAAAGAGTTAATAATACAATAATAATAAAATCCCTTTTGTAATGTGGCCTCTTAAAACAGTCTAAACTGACAGAAATATCAGTCAAAATACCAAAAAAATAATCTGAATTTTTGTGAGGCAGTTTTCATCATCCCCATTCCCTTGGGAGTTCATCTTTCTGAACACTTGTTTTATTTTTTCAAAATACACTACAATCCAGTTAATCAAAGCATCTGTTGTTGTCAGCAAATATCTTACATGGGTAAGGTATCATGTTACAATTTAACATGGCATTAAAATAAGCTGAATTCATGATATGTTCTGTAAGAACAGGATAAACAGCCTAGAGTCATGTATTAAAGTTATAAATCTAGCAGAAAATGTCAAAATACATAATTACATTTGATAATTAATTACAGGGTGCAACTTGCCTAGTACAATCAGGTAAAATGTTACCTTCTGGAGCATCTCCAATGACAATAAGTGTATTTTCCAAGCAAAATGCTTCCCATTTCAAGCAAAAGCAAAACATATTACTTATTTTGACTATAAAGACATTTCTGTAAGTAAATGTGCTATACAGTATGGTAAATAGAAGATTCCTTTATTGGAAATCTTCTTCTATATTTGCATTTTGTCACTGATTACAAGTTATAGGCTGCTATAAAGCAAAAACCATGTTATCAGTTCGTAGCGTTAAAATTTGGATAAATATGAGTGCATGAAACACAGTGTGTGAGAGCAGAAAATCAAAACTAGGAACTGGATTATATCTGAATGAATGCCAGTATTTTTTAAGCCAACATTTGGGTGCAGGATTTTTATGTTTTCTTCAATAACTTATTTATTAATTTTGGATGACATAATTTTTTATTGATCAAATCAGTTTGAGAACAAATCTGGAAAAGATTATGCAAATTTTGTTGTGAAAGGTCGACAAGTTGCCGTTGGAGTTCAAAGGTCAATGAAGAGCATGAGGTAGAGAATGTTTAAGAGGTGATTATTGGTTTAACACACCATGAAAGAACACATTCACAGACGTTCAAATTATTACATCATGTGTAGGCCAGGATATACATAAAGGGTGGGCACTAAAAAACGATAGGACTTCAACTGAGGTAGAAATACAATCTGTTGCAATGGACAGTAAACAGGATGTTGGGGCCAACAATCATTCAGCCCTGATGTTTGACATCAGAAAATATCTCAGTGCTTACAGAGAACTGGGGAACAAGGGCAGAAGACACATAAACATGTACCGTTTGGGCATTCCGGTAAAATGCAGCAGTCATCTGCAGCAGCTTACGACGAAGTTCCAATTTATGGACAAAGGTTTGACATAATGTTTCAATGGCTCTAGTTTGTTCCTGGACTTGTTCAGTGTCTTCAGCACCCGTAGAAGCAACTTTATCTGCAGCACGGAGGAGACGCTGAACATTTATTTGAATCTCCTGTAATTAAACAAAGTAAAATCATTAATTAATTCACAGGATGTATTGCACTAACTAACTAATTTTAGAAATATGGTTGCAGTACCAGCTGCAAAGAAATATGGCTGCAGTACCAGCTGCAAAGAAATATGGTTGCCAGCTGCAAAGAAACATAGTTGCAGTACCAATTGCAAAGCAATGTGGCTACAGAACACAACATGTAATTTCTTACCATTGCTGATTCTTCAAATTCAGCATGTTCTTTGATGAGTTTTTCTGTGGCTTCCAACGAATCACCAATGTCTGTTCTCTTCATATATGCTTCTCCCTTACTCTTAAACCAGTTTGAAATCTAGAAAAGTTAGCAAAAGAATGTTTTAATAGCTCAAAATTACATTTTCTGTCTTTAAACCAAGGCTTTGCACACCCAACTCCAGACCAACAAGATCAATTCATATATCGAGTATACAATATACCACAGCCAAAGGAACAGGCTTGGCAGAATCTTAATTTACCGATAATAAGCATTCATTTAGAATTATAATTGAATATTATATATAGCCAGAACTTAAATTCTACAAATTTACTTTTTAGCTTTGTCTTATATATTGCAGATAAAGTCAATCCTGTGTTAGTAACCACCACTATATAAGACTATCTTCCTATAGTGACACTATTTAGTAGAACTAAGGCATAATGCAAGAGCGGCCTGTGTATCTGTGTATGAAGACCACCTGTCCATGATGACCACTTTTAGGCAGTCCCAAGGCATAATCAATGGACAACTTCTGTATAAAGACCTGTCTTATGTGACGACCCTTTCAGGAATATTTTTGCAGATTTGCCTTTTTTTGAGACCAAATTAAATTAGAATTTTGGTAATAATTCAATTTTTAATTTCCTTAATTTGATTTTGACCAACTCAAATAAATGTGTTTTTGTTTCAACAATACCAACTCAGTATTTTCTGTAAAATGTATGGGTTGGTAATCCATTAAAGATAATTTAACTTCCATATAAAGACCACCTGTATGTAAAGATCATTTTAATAGAATCCTTGAGAGGTTGACTGTACTGTATTTGCTCTATTAGAACCACTCTCTCATGGAGGCACATGGTTGTTTTGATAAGATTTCAAGTACTCCACACTAAAACTGATGCACACATCTAATACATTTAAACATTGTAAAACTTACATCTTCAACTTCAATACTAAGTTCACAGAGAAGTAGACATTGTTCAAGTTTAAGTTTGCGTCTCAGCCACAGTTCCTCAAGTAGTCGTCGACGATCATGAAGTTCTTCCATGACCCTCTCAATACCGTAGCAAGCCGCCGTAGTTGCATGTTGGTATCGGGGGTCCATTAGATTACCGACTTCTTTGATTCTGTCCAATAGAGCTTGTCCTTTGTTTAATGTATGCATCGAAGCCTCAAGTATACCTAAAAAATAATAAAAGTATAATTACTTATTTATTTACCACTAAAATTTAAGAAATGTTTCAAATTGATTAACTTCACAAATCACTTATGAAAATCATTTATGAAAGGTAAACCCAAATCTATAATATTGTAAAGTACTTTATTTTCGCTGAAGGGATAATATACATTTTTTCCTATATTTTACACTTAAATCATCAAGAATCAGTTAAAATAAATTCCATACAAAACACCCAAAAAGTCTTTTCAGCGAAAATTTATTCCAGCTAACATAAAGTATTTTACAGTTATGGTTTCTAATGTTGACATAATTCAAAGAACAATCACCTGCACACATAACCTAAAACTATTTTTTTTTATTTTGAGCCAAGTGACATTTCGATATTGAATTCACTGCTGATCGAATTCACTGCTGATTCTTCTGACTTTCTTGTCTCAGATGCTAATTACATGTACGTGTGTACACAGTCACTCTACCAGGAGAGTGACTGTGATGTGTACAAACCAGTCTTCCAAACCAAAGTCGGTAACGCATGTTTGAAAGGTAGCACAGACTGTACTCAAATTGATACAGCTGAGTGTACAGTCAGCTGAGGAAATCAAATGCAAAACCTCCTTGATATGCGGGTAGCATGCTAACCACTGAACCATCACCTAGGTAACTTTACATATGTACCCCCCTCCCCCTGTTTATTAAGCATCAATAGGAAGCAAACAATTTTGTGAAACAGTGAAAATCGTGAAATTTGAAGCAAAGAAAATTTCCAACAGCGAAAATTAAGTTGTTTACAGTATTAATGGTGTGATACCTATACACAGTAGGATTGCATGGAATGTTAAAACATGCATAATAATATAAAGGACCACAATTTATGACTGAAACAGGAAGGACATACATATAATATTTCTTATATGCCTATAAAAACTAAGTGGGAATAGTTGCCTCCCAATACATACCATAAAAATAACCTTGTCAGATTTCCAAGGTAATGGTGTTTACTGGATATTTTACCAGTTGACTTTTAAGTAAAATCCGCTAACAGAATGTCTGATAACTGATATCAGGTGAGTCTTGGTTCCACCCAAATCAAGATGACAATGAAGGTGAAACTAGATTAGCTGTCATAAGTGTGTCCTCTAACAAGATTGACTTTATAGGGATTCTGAGTCAAAGTAGAATCCCCTGAAATCAAGTTGAGCCAGCTAGGGAGGTCAATCTTCAAAAAAATAATAAAATGGTTTGTGGCTCTGATTTTTTTCATTTCTACATGTATATTGTTTTATATAGAATGTGATTTTCATTTTACCACAACTACAGTGTTTTTCAAGATCACTATATCAATGTTTGATTTGCTTTGCGTCAATGATGCGCCAGTGAATTAGTACAACTAATTGCATCAAGGTAAATCTTTATGAGTCAGTGCTGCATCATCTTGGCTTCGAGGGCACACACTGGTAGTCAGTAATAAGGGAAGAAATTAGTCTGGGCACTTGTTTGAACTAACAAAAAAATATCCAGTCATCTTTCCTGCTTTAACTACTCTAGACATTTCATTAAAAAGACTGGTTGTTGCAATCAAAGTTGAAGTTCCATTGAATTTATGGTGATTGCGGAGGAAATCCTAGTAAAACAGTAAATACACATACTTGTGTTTTAAAGTACTTCGTACTTACTGAGCTTAACTGAGACACTAAATATTTAAATGGTCAATGAAGAATGACCTTTGACATTGTGAGGTCAAGAGGTCATGGTATAACAATAGGAATTACATTTTTAGAATTCCCCTATGGTGTATCTGTAGTAATTATTACTGATATAATATGATTTCTATGACATTCTGATCCAATTGTTTGTATTGATATGGTATTAAATGTATCTTGAAGCACACATCAATAGCTTTGTTCAAAAAAAATAAGATAAGTGTACTGGAATATGCTTGTCAATCATAGTCCTTAATTCTATATACTAGGATGTGCTTCCTGCAAGCATTGTTGATGTGTGGCAAAATATTGAATTTTTTGGTTTTTGGTTGCCAAAATTCTATTATTTGTTAGACCAGAGTCAAAGTTAGTCAAACCGAAAATATCGAATTTATAGGACTAGTATAATTTCTGCCTGCAAAGATACGTGTTACAAATAATGAAGAATCTGTAGACTTACTTTTCTTGAGTTCAAGATGTTTTTGTAGTAGACTTTGGGCAGTAGGAATATCCTGGGCAACAGCTATGCTGCTGAAATCTTCTAGAGCCTTGTCCATTCGCTCAGAGAACTAGCAAACAAAAGGAAAAATACAAGTCATACAAATGTTCAGAAGTATGTATATTTAAGTAGTTCTCCTGCCCAAGAAAGCACATATGAGAAAGATGTTACCATAAACACAGGTACATTATTTTTGCTTGCACAAGGAAAGTTTTTTGTTTTATGTGTACTTTTAAAGGAATTTTATCTTGGACCAAATGGGCTCTATTGCCTGTTGAGTACAGGTCTTGGTCAAAATTGCCAAACAAAATGGAAAACGTTTCGCAAGTTTAAAATTCATATGAAAGGTACCAAAAGCTGATTTTGGAGCTCAAAATATTAAAACATTTATTTATATTTTAGTATTCTAATCATCAGCAATTAAATTCATAAAAATCCATTTTCCCCATGGTCAGTAAAGCAACAGACAGAATAGTCGAGGGATAGACAGAACACCTGAAGCTAACATAATCCAAGGAGGAGTATCTGATTTCCTACATATATCCTGGCAGTTTAGTTGTAGAAGTATCATCTTTGTGTGATTTGCAGCACATTTTATTTACGCACAGTCCCTGCACAGTGTGAAGGGACTGTGGTTTATGTAAATGACAGATGTGGTCAAAAGTCATAGTTTAATAATCGGTAAATTTTAGTTATGCTTCTAACAGAAATAACACAGTATTTGAAACCACTATCACATTTGTTGAGAGGTGTAAAATGTGATGTGCATATCACACCTGCTATTTATATACAGCACAACTGAAATCTACATGGATGGCCAGAGATGTCCAGGAAAGCTCACTAACCCATATATCTGTGTATTTGATTTGTTCAGTACACATAGAAGGTCATCACAAGTGACAAGACTAACTCAGTAACTGATCAAATGACTGATAATGATATCTGTGCACACAACAATGCAAGAGTACACCTTAGGAAAAACTTCCAAAGACTCACACATCCTGGTACTTCAACCTGCAAAGGTCACACATCCTGGAACATTCTGAGGCTAAAAATTCACTATATGAGATTAACCAAGAGGTGGGCATTACTGGAGGGAGGGGTCTATTTACTGAGTAAAATTCAATTTATTTTTGAAAATCTATGTCTGCTTGATGCAAATTATTCTTGTCTGACACAACACCAGCACCACTGCCTCTTCTCCCCCACAGAAAATATTTCATCCTTTTGACTGTAAAACCAGACAAATATACATTTTTTTTATATTTGACAACTTTAAAACTGTACTAACGTCTTAAAATTAAGCTTTTATTTTGATTTTTCTATTTTTTCTAAAATTGAGACAAAAAAAAGACTAAAAAGCTATAATGTTCACATTTTTATCCAATATTTCACTGACCATAATAACAACTATTTTTGTGCTAGAAACTTATCTTTGCTGATAAATTCCTAACAATTGATGAATGTAGCAGATTACAAACTGAGGACTCTCACCTCTTGAGCACTTTGATGGAAGGCAACTGACTGATCCAGCAGTGTTCTTCTGTCTTCTAGCTGTGCATTGAGATCTTTCCAGGCTTCACCTAAAGATTCTGCCATGGCTTCATAAACTTCACTGTAAGTTTGCTGTGATGCAATTAATGTGTCTGCTTGGGTAAGAAGGGCATTGATTTGCTGCTGCTTTGCCTGCAAGAAAACAAAATAACCCTCATTATAAAACTGAAAAAATCACAGACTGAATTAAAACGAGGGAGACGTCACCTGCGTATGCGTCATTTAAAGCGGGGGAGTCGTCACCTGTGTATGCGTCAATTAAAGCGGGGGAGTCGTCACCTGCGTATACGTCATTTACAGCAGGGGTGTCATCACCTGCACATGTGTCAGATGGCCATAGTGTGTCATTGTTTACAAACAAGCGTCTACCCATGAGCATTTGCGTTTTAGCGTGTGTTGTTATCATCGCTTGGGACTCTACTCTCACATGTGCGCAGGTGACAACCCCCTCGCTATAAATTTGGCTTTTCAGTATTTATTTATTTACTTCAGTTATCATTTGTTTTATACTTTTTACCAACATCTCCAAGAATATATATCCCAGACACACCAAAATTGAAGTGTACAGAGGTTATGAATGCATTAATAGTTTGAGAAAGATTTGACAATAATTACTTGAGTTATCATGTAGTGTACACAAGAAATTAACACTACAATAATGGCAATGACAGACAAGGCAAACTTGCTCTACCTTACCTTCATTAAAATTACAGGCAATGAAACAATTAATCATCATATTAAGCAATGTAAACTATTTTGTTTGCACAAGAACCAAGCTTTTAAAAATTCACAAGTCAGCAAAAATTCAGAAATGTTGTAGGATACAGATATTAAATCAGATGTCCAACCCAAATCAAGTAACAGTAAAGATTACCAGTGAAACTAGCATAGTAGGCACAAGAGAAGAAATTAGTCTAGATGCTTTATTTGGACAAGAAGCTGCAGTGACTTTTGTGATATTTTGTAACACCAAATGCCATAAAATATTTTTTTCCAGTGTAGTCATGTTGCATTTTCCACACAAAAAAAACAAAACATTGACCTTTGACCCCCACATTCAATGTGTATATTCTATTCTTTAGAGACTCAGTAACACATTGTATATAGGAAATTTACAATGCTCCACTACTGACTGAACCATAGTATTAAAAGTGTTACATAACAATACAAATATATGGAAATAAGCTTTTGTCACATTTCACATACTTAAAGGCAATGTAAAATTACGTCAATCTTGAGCAAAATAATTTAAGAAATCTAAAAAAATATATAAAAATGAGCAAAACGTATCATGGCTGGAAAAATTAGTGTATTCAAAGCAACAAGAAGGTGACAACAACAACAACTATCAGAACAGCGGATTTGGTAGAATCACAACAGTTGTTTACTATCAAAAACACCTCAATCTTTTGTGGATTTATTCAGCGTTACAAGCAAGTGAACAACACCGGGTGTGTAAGTATAACCTAAAAGAGGACTGGTTTTATTTTCTTCCTACCTACTCTGTTACAGTCACATAGTTGCTTACAGTTATAGATAATTCACACGAAACACAATAAAAATCAGACCTTAAATCAATAAGGAGATCCTATGTATTGTTCCACTAAGAACAATGTATAAATTCTTGAATCAACAATAGGATATAGAATACAATAACCACCAGTCCACATGTGATGGATTATTCACCACGCTGATTTTGTTGTACTGGAAATATTTCCCGGGAGGCACCAACCAACCAAAAAGAAGACAGACAGAACAAATGTTTTTCACACAGCTACTTGACAAAAATCCCATTAAAAGTTAACTTATTTACAATAATGTCAAAAAAGAAATATTTAGTATTATTATTATAGCATTATTTGGACAGCCAACCAGATTGACGCATTTGCAAAGTTCCAGAACAATTGTTCTGCTTCCTCACCACCTAAGCAACAATGTATTAAATGCCTGACTGATCAGCACATGACAGAAAATAAATCGCTGAGTTGCAGAGTATTGCAGGTCCTTGACTTGATTGTTCTATCATGTATTTACCTGAGTTAAAGTGTTATAATGTGTGTATAATTGAACGATCAAAAGAACAAGCTCCTTCAAGAAACTGCTAATCATATGAACCCAGTAATTTTTTCCTGCCCAAATTCTTAAATTGGTCTGTAGTTTTCTATAATTTCAACCAAATAGATGTAACTAAACTCTGAACTCTCACTGGATTGTTGATAATTTTAAAATTGAGAAGAAAAGGAAGAAAAGCAAACATTTTCTTTAAGCATGCTAATTCAAATTTTACTAACTTTCAAGCACATTTTTGAAAGAAATTTAAATTTACTTATTTATTGATAAGAACTTTTTATTGGCAACAGATCTTGATTGAAAATTTAAAGAAAAATCTTCTGATTGCTAAAAGGTAACAAGTTGACTTTGAAGTTCAAAGGTTTAAAGTCTACTACACATGCATTTTTATAATTCTTAGAGATTTACTAATATTTGACCATGCCAGCTGCTGGAATTTAAGCAAAATCGGAACATGTTGAAAGTAGAGTCATTACTTGTCCACTATCTCAGAGACCTTGTAAGCAAGATTTACTGTCCTTACTGATTTATATGTGCACTGGTGATCTTTAAATGTCAACTTACACTTCAATGGGAAAATAGGTCAGTTTAAAAAATGCCATTATCTGAAAGTATTATTATATCATTCCCTATACATACAGTGTCAACAACAAAATTGCAAATTTCTGATTTCCAGATATTTCAGAAGTCTCATTATCATAGTTTGACTAAGGTGAAGTCAAAGATAAAACTTAGAATGTTCCTCATGTGCATGTTCATGACAAGTACGAAAACTTATTTCAGAAGATACTTGTCTTCATATTTACTAACATCAACTTCATATTAAATTTGTCATATGATTTTTGGAAATAAGTCACACATTTTTTCTAGTCAGAGCGTCAAAATGACTGCCAATTTGGTTTTTAAAGGTAATGGGGATAACATGAAAATATAATTCCATTTGATTCTTGCTTTGTTCATTTAAATAAATGACAACATTAGTGGATAATTTACTACCAGTATTTCATACCAGAGTGACTCTGTCTTAAAACTCTAATGTAGTTCACTGTGACTCCCTATCTTAAACTCTAGGGAAGTTAACTGTGACTCCCTGTCTTGAAACCCTAGTGAAGTTCACTGTGACTCCCTGTCTTAAAACTCTAGTGAAGTTCACTGTGACTCCCTGTCTTAAAACTCTAGTGAAGTTAACTGTGACTCCCTATCTTAAACTCTAGTGAAGTTCACTGTGACTCCCTGTCTTAAAACTCTAGTGAAGTTCACTGTGACTCCCTGTCTTGAAACCCTAGTGAAGTTCACTGTGACTCCCTGTCTTAAAACTCTAGTGAAGTTAACTGTGACTCCCTGTCTTAAAACTCTAGTGAAGTTCACTGTGACTCCCTGTCTTAAACTCTAGTGAAGTTCACTGTGACTCCCTATCTTAAACTCTAGTGAAGTTCACTGTGACTCCCTGTCTTAAAACTCTAGTGAAGTTCACTGTGACTCCCTGTCTTAAAACTCTAGTGAAGTTCACTGTGACTCCCTGTCTTAAAAATCTAGTGAAGTTATCTGTGACTCCCTGTCTTAAACTCTAGTGAAGTTAACTGTGATTCCCTGTCTTAAAACTCTAGTGAAGTTAACTGTGACTCCCTGTCTTGAAACCCTAGTGAAGTTCACTGTGACTCCCTGTCTTAAAACTCTAGTGAAGTTATCTGTGACTCCCTGTCTTAAACTCTAGTGAAGTTAACTGTGATTCCCTGTCTTAAAACTCTAGTGAAGTTAACTGTGACTCCCTGTCTTGAAACCCTAGTGAAGTTCACTGTGACTCCCTGTCTTAAAACTCTAGTGAAGTTAACTGTGACTCCCTGTCTTAATACTCTAGTGAAGTTAACTGTGACTCCCTGTCTTAATACTCTAGTGAAGTTAACTGTGACTCCCTGTCTTGAAACCCTAGTGAAGTTAACTGTGACTCCCTGTCTTAAAACTCTAGGGAAGTTAACTGTGACTCCCTGTCTTGAAACCCTAGTGAAGTTCACTGTGACTCCCTGTCTTAAAACTCTAATGTAGTTCACTGTGACTCCCTGTCTTGAAACCCTAGTGAAGTTAACTGTGACTCCCTATCTTAAACTCTAGTGAAGTTCACTGTGACTCCCTGTCTTAAACTCTAGTGAAGTTAACTGTGACTCCCTGTCTTAAAACTCTAGGGAAGTTAACTGTGACTCCCTATCTTAAACTCTAGTGAAGTTCACTGTGACTCCCTGTCTTAAAACTCTAGTGAAGTTAACTG